TCCACCCTAGTAGCGATGGCCTCCACCCTAGTAGCTTCTAGCTACTGGTAGTAATGGCCTCCACCCTAGTAGCGATGGCCTCCACCCTAGTAGCTTCTAGCTACTAGTAGTAATGGCCTCCACCCTAGTAGTGGTGTCCACCCTAGTAGCGATGGCCTCCACCTAGTAGCGACGGCCTCCACCTAGTAGCTTCCAATGGCCAGAGTTTTTCAGAATGTGTGGCAGACAGACGAAATGTTTTTAGTTTTGACCAAGCACTTCGAGAAACTTGCAGTCTCTCAGTCACGTTACCATTCTGCTGTGACCAATGCCGCACGAGCTCAGCAAAAGCTGTAGCAATCCTTGATCCACGATGTAGTTACAGGATCTTAGGCCGTTCTTTGAGGTTTGGGCTTGAACTTCCAAGTCCAACCTTGTGAGGCCCTGATGTACTACAAGTTCGTGCCTTTGGACCTGCGACAGAGTGGCTACACGGTTCTCTGGCATGCAATGCCAGACGGCTTGTGGCCGCGTGGTTTCGGTCGGGCGAAGTGAGGTAGTTCAGATGTCCGACTTCTACATCTACAACCAGCAGGTCGAAGTGGATGGCTTTGATCAAGCGAACCTTGGTTTTGCGTCTTCTTCGTTTTGTCCGGAAGCCCCTTTGTTGGAAGCCAATGCATTTTTTGCATTATTTTGCATTATATGCACATTTACAGTGTCTTGGGTGTTTTCAGGTTTCATGTGGCCCATCCGTCTCTTTCCAGCCCAAACCCTTGAGACTTCGAGTAACACGAAACACGCGGACACCACCGAACGTGCGGCGGTCGGCCGAGGGTCTTCTATTGCGACCCGTGCAACACCCCAGTGAACGGCCAAGAAGATCCGCCCAACTTGGGCGACGGCAACGGGGACACCAAATGGCTGGACTACACCATGAATCCCTTCTTCGTAAGGAGGGGCGATGGGTGGGGGAAGAAGGGAGGGTGAAGAAGGGAGGCTTGAAGGGTTTCGGGTTTAGGGTTCAACTCTGGGTTGGGCGATGGTTTGTGGTTGTTTTCAAGGGGGACTGGGTGCGGGATTTGGTTCAACGAGTCAAGTTTTATGAGTGGCTATCTATTGAGGTTTCATATTGTACTTGGCAATTTTAGGACAGGAACAAGTAACGATGCGATTATCCATCAAAACTGATGCATGTAGAATGATTTTTGGGCCATTCTGGGGATTATTGCTGTAAGTGGCAGGGAAAGGTTTCAGGCCTGCACTCTGTACTCGCCCTTTGTGTGGGACCTTCACAGCGTCCTCATGCTTTGGGTTCTGAACCTCTTGCAAAGGGCAAGCGTTTTGAGCTTTCTATAGCGGGCAACGGGCCGCCTCATGCAGCTGGGTCAAAGGCGGAATGATTCCCTCAGGTCCCTAAAGAAGAGGGAGGATCTGCATGGGTTTAAGCTTGCAATTATTACTTCTTATTACTATTTTTACCGAGCGCTGAGTGCTTTCTATGCAAGACGGACTGACCGAGTGCTTTTCCACCGGAGGATCCCTTCGCCACAGCCCATCTTCAGCTTCTTGGTTGAGAGCAGTGAGAAGAACTACGCAGGACATTCAGATCTGTTTGGGAACGGTTGAAGACAGGAGGAGATGGATGTCTGTCAAAGCAGAGACATCCCCTTCCTTCCAGAGGACGCAAGTCTTGAGGAAGAGATCCCGTCAAGGGTCCAAACCGCCTTCGGGAGAAAACACCGAGTCATGAACGCTTCAAGCTCGAATGCAGCTTCAGCCCAAGCAGAAGCCTCAGCCTCCTCAGCCTTTCAGCCCCACCCCAACTGTACGCATCTCTTTCTCCCTTCACTGGGCCTGCCACTCCTCCCGCATCTCCTCCGCCTGCCACTCCTCCCGCGTCTCCTCAACCCAAGGCTATAGCTTCGTCACCGGGAACGATGAGCCGATCCGCGACCCGTGGCTTTGGCAGCTGTGGGGCTCGCCCAATAGCGTGGACTGGGCACCCTGGGCTGCACACAGCGGTGGGAGTGGGAAGAAGGCGACCCTCTGGAGTGATGGAGTAGTGGGCCGATTGAAGCGAAGTCCTTTTCATTTGGGGTGAAAACTGAGTGGGGCTTTTGCTAAGTGTATTTGTAACACATCATACTACTTACTCTGAATTGAAAGGTGGGAGTTGGTTCCAAGAACTGCCGTGAGATAGTCTAGGTTGCAGAGAGGCGTTCAGGTCCGCACCCCTGGCACTTGCCCTGCGACGTTTCGAACGCCCGAGAACACCTCCCTGGCCTTGCCAATCCCTCCTCGATCCTCCTGCACGGAGGCATTTGACCGCCGTTAGACGTGTTGTTCACTCAGGATTTATTTATTTTGTTTTTTCAATTGTATGAAGGCAACGGCAACATTCATGAGGGACAAGTTTCTATTCATTCATAAATTTGTCATAATCATATCATCATATCATTCATTAGACAGGTTGTTTCACCACGCCCGCGACCATACCTCGCACCGGCACCTCGCGGTCCGCGACCGCACAACGCTTCGAAGGCTTCGCGTCGTCGCATCGGCGGCGGTGAGGTGATCCTGCATGAGGTGAGTGATCCCAATCACAACCTGGTGCCACTGGAGAGGAAGACCTCCACCGGGCAGATCAGCATCGAGGTGCCATGCTTCTCGCCCATGCAGGCCGGGGAGCACCCGAGATCGGGGGGAGCGAGGTCTTGGGGGTGAGGTCTGGGGCAGAGACTCAAGAGGTCTTGGATCTTGGTGCACGAGTGCTTCGTGCTGCTGCGCGAGCGGTTCCCCCTGCCACTGGGAAGGAGAGACGGACTCCAAGTAAGAGTCAGCCTGTCCCAAATGCGGCAGGCCGACCTCCGAGGCAGCGCGGTCGGGGTTCAATCAAGGTTAAGGTCTGCTGATGTGGGTCTTGAGAGCCCGTCTGCACCCCCACTCGTAGAGTCGTAGAGACTACACCGGTGAGATCCACCGAACAAAAAGACCGATGGTGTTTCCTCCGAAGCTCGGGGTGTTCGTTCGGAACCCTCGCTTCGGTGGGGTTTTGCTTCGGTGGGCTTCGAGAAAGCCGCAGTGAATTTGTGAGGGTGTTTTCTTTTCCTCAGACGAGCGGGTCTCAACATGAAGTGGAAGGTTGCTGGAAAGACGAAGAACTTGAAGAACTTGGGCCCATCAGAGGAGTCCGGTCACCAGAAGTCTTTGGAGTAGAACGAACACCCCGAGATTTTGGCAGCTCCCTCAATGGGTGCGAACTCCCGAAACCCAAGCATCCGCAGGTGCACATTTCCAACGCCGTTGCTCGGCAGGGGATGTGGAAAGTTCTGAAGACAGGAAGTTGGATTGGGGTGATCATGTGGGTTTCGCTTTTTGTCCTTATATGTTTTTACTGCTATATATTGTTATATAAACATACATATAAAAGCATATGCCACACTATCTCTGCAATGAACAGCATGTGTTCTCAAGAATCTTTCGGCTCGAGCGCCGGTCTTTTATGCCTTGGAGCGCCGCTCTGGAGGTGGTCCGAGAGCTCCGCTGGTGGCTGCCAGCCACCCCGACCTGCACCTCCTCTGGTGTTGGCTTTGCGCTGGCGGCGCTTTTGATCCTGGTGGCCTTCGTTTGCGGCTGCTGCTGCGGTGCGGGGATTGCTGTGATCGTTGTTTCCTCGCAGGTGCGCCGCACCCTAGCCTGGCTGGCCACAGGTCTGATCACCACTTGGCTTCCTTTTGAACCACCACCTGCCCCTGTACACTCACTGAGGCGCAGACTGGCTCAGTATCGCGCTGATGGTGCATGAGCGCGGACCAAGAGGTGGACGAGCTGTGCATTGCAGTCGGTGACTTGGTTGTCAAGGTTTCGAAGGCCAAAGCTGCTCCGACCTCGGGCTACTCTGGTGCTAGTTCGAGATCTTCAGCTGTGAGTGATCCCCCCAGAGAATCTGGTGCCCTTGCAGGCCCATCCGGGCCCCTTGCTCCAGCACCTGCTGGTGCCGGAGCTCCTTCCGAGGCTGGTTCCTGGAGGGTGGTGGGAACAGAAGAACCCGAGCCCGGGGTTCCTTGGAGTTGGGCTTGGGAGACTGAGTTGCTGGCGGCTTCTTCGCCAGACGAGGTCCTGGCGGTGGACCTGGAGCCAGTTGATCATCTCGGAGCACGGATTAGCTCCACGAGTGCGGGCTGGTCTCCGAGGGCTCGACTGGGGCGGGCACTGCGAGCGGGCCTGATCGCTCGCCGCCTCTTGGACGGTCTTTCTGTGAGGCCTGCCAACATCGGGGGTCCCACTCTCCCCACTCGCTTCTACATCATCCTTCGTGCAGCGCCGGGGCGTCTCGCTGGCTGGACTGAGGACTACATCCTTTACCGTGATCAAGTCATCCATCGCGACGGCAACTTCCACAGTGGAACGGTGTCCCAGGCCTTTGCATCACGTGCTGAGGCCGAAGCCTATCTGCTGGGTGCGAGGGAGCCATGGCCTCCGGCGCTGCAGCGCCGGTGCTGAGCGAAGATGGAATGCGGGCTCTGTGGGAGGCGGCATCCACAGGGCCTTTGCCAGGCATTTACCTGGTCAGGCCGTCGAGGCCAGATGGTGTGGGGCAGAGGGCTTTGAGCTATTTGGCAAAGCTCCGCCCGGGGGGCTTCATGGTCGCTTTGCCAGACATCGAAGAGGTGGTGCAGTCCGTTCGAGACCTGGAGGACGAGGTGAACGAAGCTTTCGTGGCCGTCTATCCTTCCGAAGTGGAGCTAGAAACTGTGAGAGGCAGGCGGCTGGGACTTGGTTCTTGCATCCTGGCCGACTTCTCATGGAGCTTGGTAGGCCACCCCCTCCGGAGTGCCTCCGCTTTCGAGGTCCTGCGGTTCGCTTTGGAAGGCACGGCTTGTCGTCCAAGGCGTTCTTCGGTTGCAGCGGCAGCAGATGCTTGGATCCACGAGGTGATGGACGACGACACGGCAGCAGACTACGTGACTGGAGAGTCAGAACATCAGCCGGCTGCTGGAGAAGAGTTGGAGCTGGATGCCAATGGAGGAGGGGAAGACGAAGTCTCAGAGCTCCGTCGGCGCATTGCCGAACTGGAGTTGGCTCGTCAACTCCCTCGCGACAGCCAGCCCTTCGTCCCCAGAGCATGAGCGCTCAACCTGCAGCTCATCAGGGATTAGGTGGCAGAGGAGTCCTGTTTGGGGGTGTGCGCAACATCAACGATGCGCCCCCTCCCGGAGAAGTTATGAACCGGCTACGGAGTCTGGCCGGGGCTGCCCCCCTTCGCTTGGGCGCACACGAACGTCAGCTCCGCGAAGGTCGGCCTCAAGCAAGTCTCGAAGGCTTACAACAAGAAGCTGGCCTCGGAGCTGTGGAGCCTCTGGAGCTCGAGGAGGGCATTCAAGACTTGGAAGGATCGGCTTCAGATCCTCTGCAGCAGATTCTCCTCCTCCAGATGCAACAGATGTCCATGTTAGCAAAGCAGCATCAGACTCGTCAGATCGATCCTTTAACTGCGGCCTTGGCTGGTGGGGGCGAATCACAAAGCATGGGAAGCTCGAGTGGCATCAAGGGTTGTGCCGCCAGAGAGGCTTTCATACGAGTCATGCAGGATCTGCCCGCATTTGCTGCAAAGGTGAACGACAATGCATGCTTGGAGCTGGGCATCGACATCCATCAAGCTGGACCCGGCCTGATGAAAGAATATGTGGAGAAGCGGATTCCGTTAGGAGACAATCGGCTCCTGACACAGTCAGCTTACCTTTGGGCATGGGCCTGGGAGATGGGCTATCGGCTGAACAGTGCAGAGCTTATGGCAGTGGCATGTCGAGGCATGATCTTTGTGGACCAGACGGCCACAGACTACGGCCGAACGAGTTTGAGTTGGCTCCTCACGGCATTGCCAGAGCCTCAGTTCAGCATTGTTCAAAGAAACAGGGTTCGCAACTCGCTCACCCCGTTCAGTCGCCTAGCTTCGGCGGCTTGGATCGGAGCAAATGTAGCTTTTATGAAAGATCTCGATTTCCTAGAAGGAAAGATCAAGAGCGCCAACTCCACCTCACCTCCCGGAGCGAAGGATCCCGGGGGCGACCAGGAGAAACCCAAGAAGACGCCCTGGAAGCCAAAGAAGAAGAAGGCTCAGGAGGGCAGCGACACCGCAGCATGAAGGGGGACGCAGCTGCATTGCCCGCCCGGGCGCCATCAGTTGGTTTGCCGAGCTCCTCTATGTCAGAGCGGGGGGTTTGCAGCCCCACTGCTTTACACGGTCGGCCGGCTGGTGGCTCCCCTTGGCGTGGCTTTTCCACTGGCGCAGCAAAGTCCCCCCATGCGAAGATCGGTGAATGCCGGAAGAACCCAGGGGCAGGCTGGGAGGGGAACGCTCGTCCTCCCAGGCCGCAGATTGATGGTGGCACCTTCCCCGATGAAATTCAGTGCATGGAGCTGATGCTAGCAGCTATGCAGTGTGCTGCGACGTGTCCTGGTTTGGGCCACTTCATTCATCGCAGTCTGCTGCCTTCCCGCAACGTTGAGGTCCCTGAGAAGTTGGGGACGGATCTACTGCCTTGTCCCCCCCCCTCGTTGGGGTCGTTGGACAAAGGCAAGCTCACTTTCTCCGCGCCGTCGTAGGCGCTTGAGGTTCTTGAAGGCGAAAGCTCTGTGCCTTCAGCATTTGGTGATTGGCCTCAACTGGCTGGCTCTCGGATGCTGCAGGTCGCCCCCTGATCGAGCTCGAGCAGGATACCCAATGACCAGAGGGCAGCATGAGATGCTTGAGAGGCTGGAAGATTTAGTGTCTTACTTCCTCGCCGCTGGTCCCGTGTCCGTCGGCAGCTTGGGCAGAGCCGGAGAGAAATTGAGTAAATTGAGTGCTTTGATTTTTTCATTACCCCAATCTTCGGAGTCGGTTGATTTCCAAGATATTGATAGTTTTTTGGAAGTGCTTCAGCAGTCTTTTGACTCTTACTCCCAACCTAAATCCAATAGTAGAAAGTCAGACCTACCAGACGATGAGCTCGGCGCTGCCCTGGATGAGAAGGACGGTACGCGGCTGGCATCTCCCCGGACCCGTGTTTCCTCGAGTGCCTGCAGTGCCAAACCAGTGTTAGCCGAGCGAACCAAATGGAAGCTAGCCCCCTCTTTTGACCCTCGACCTTATTTGGATGACCCGGTGATCAAGAGGGCATTCGAGGATCCTGACATCCTGAGAAAACCGCCAGATTCTTGGCCTCGCATGCCTAGAGCAAAAGTTCACGCCTCTCGGGGCGATGTGCTGGCGCTAGCGGCCAAGTGGGATGACCTGGGAGCATGCCGCCTAGTTCCTTGCGCGGATGTCCCCAGCATTGAGACGGTCGGTATGTTCGCTGTTCCTAAAGATGAGACATTCGACAGGCTGATCCTCAATCCGACGGTTGTCAACTCACGTTGTTTTGGATACTCTAGATACACAAAGACTATTGCCCCAGGATATTTGATTACTTCACTACAATTGTTGGACGACGAGCAACTTCTGGTTTCTCCAGACGATCTGTGTGAGTTCTACTACACTTTTCAGGTTTCTGATAAACGAGCTAGACGTAACGCTATTGGACTCCCGTTCAGTGTCGATGAGGTTTCCCATTTGAAGTGCTTTGACAAGACCCGACACAAAGGTGAATTGTACATCTGCCTGGGGACATTGGCCATGGGCGATGCCCTAGCTGTTGAGATTGCGCAGCAAAGCCACCTCAATTTGTTACGGTTCCGTGCCGGTTGCATGCTGGAGGGGGAGTGCTTGAGATATCGAGAACCCGTCCCGCGTGGAAAGTTTTGTGAGCTGTTAACCATTGATGACCACATTGGTTTGCAAAAGGTGAAACTTTCTGAACCAGATCACCCTTCTACCCGGCGAGATGTTGAGGTTTTCGAAGCAGCAAACAATGCATATGTAGCTGTGGGCCTCACTGCCCATCCGGGTAAACGCCAGAGAAGGGAGACGGTGGCAACCGTACTTGGAGCGGAAATTGATGGCTTGCGTGGTCGTGTCTCGGCTCCCAGAGGCCGTGTGGCCATGTTGTGTTTCCTGACAGCGGTGTTAGTCAAGAAGGGCATGATCACAAGGAAAATTCTCCAGGGTCTTTTGGGGTGTTGGACGCATGTCTGTTTGTTCAGAAGACCTTCTTTTGCAATTTTGGACAAAGTATATAGTGAAGGCAGCGATTACTCCAACGACCTCGTTTTCCACATGTCACGACAGTGCAAGATGGAGCTCATGACATTGTGTTTGTTGGCCCCTACGCTTCAGACAGACCTTAGGGTCAGCTCGGCGCCTTTCCTTTACATGATGGATGCCTCCCCTTACGGAGGGGGCATCTGCCGTTCTCCTCTGCCTGAAGTTGCTGGGAACGAGTTGTGGAGGCACACTGAACAGCGGGGCTACTACACAAAGCTCCAACAGGGTGCCAACGCAGTTTTGCATGAGCTAGGGATTGAGCATACAGAGTTGTTTGGGGATCCTGGTGAACAATTCAACATTGGACGCCCCTCGTCAACAGACTTTGTCCTCCCTCGTGGAGAGCTTCGAGATGCCACTGTAGCTTTCGACTGCATTGAACTGTTCGCAGGCTATGCCAACTGGAGCAAGTCGCATGCAAGAGTTGGGCTCCGTGTACACCCAGGCATTGAGCGAAGTGCCAAAGGTCGGGGCTACGGTGATGTTCAGGATAATGATACTTTCCACATGTTAGCAAAACTGGCCTCCTCGGGGGCCATTCGTGAGTGGCACGCAGCACCCCCGTGTTGGTCGTTCGGAACACTCAGGCGTCCCAGACTCCGTTCAAAGAACTTGCCGGCTGGTTTTGACATTAAACATCCCCAGACAAAGGAGCAAACATTGCTGGCTGTGCGCACGGCTTTTTTGCTTTTCCTTGCTGTTTCAAGTGGGTGTTTCATTTCATGTGAGCAGCCGGGTGGGTCGGTGATGTTTGAATTGGCAATCTTCAGACGATTGATTCAAGTTGGCTGTCAAATTACTAGGTTCTGTTTTTGCAGTTTCGGGTCTGGCTTTCAGAAGGCCAGCAAGTGGCTGCACAACAAACCCTGGTATTTGCTTCTTGAAGGGAAATGCAGTTGCGAGTTCAAAGGGCACCACTTTACAGTTGAGGGGACTTTCGCGCGATCTTCGATCAAGTTGTTCTCTTCCCGGTGCAGGCCCAACGTTGAAAGTGTTTATGGGAGAACCCCTCTGCCTGGCGAGGCTGTCAGTGCTTTCTCTGCAGGGTACCCCATTCCGCTGTGTGAGGCTATGGCATCAGGAAGTCGAAATGCACACCGTGCTGCAACTGTTGGGCCGTTGACCAAGACTTTGCCTCCTCCCGAGTTGGGGGGTGACATTGCGGGCGAGTATGCTCGTCGCCCGTGGTTTGAAGACCCAGAGTGGGTTGAGGATTTATGTGAAAGCCTCCCATATAGTGAAGTTTTCAGATTCAGGTTCCAGAAATCTGGACACATCAATGTGTTGGAGTGTAGGGTTTATAAAACCTGGTTGAAGCATTGTGCAAAAAGATATCCTAGAAGTCGTCTTTTGGCTTTATTGGATAGCCGAGTTACCATGGGAGCAGCAGCTAAAGGTCGAAGCAGCAGCCGAGCTTTGTCGCGAGTCTTGCGTTCGGGCCTTGGCTACATACTAGGTGGGTGTCTGTATCCAGGAACACTCCACTGTAGGAGCCACTGGAATCGTGCGGACGGTCCTTCACGGGATGGCCCGGTCCCCGGGCCTTCCCGACCCGAAGCCTCTTGGGTTCGAGATTTACGACGTGGTGATTTTGCTGCTTTTGACACTTTGTTGACGGCTGCCACTTGGACTAGACCCGTCGGTCGTTGGTACAGGTTACTGTTGTTGATTGCAGGTGATGTTGAGAGACACCCCGGTCCAGTTGAAACAAAAGGTCGCCCTCCACGTGGCGAGCTCAACCTTTTGGGCGGGTTTGCACAAGCGACCTCTGACCGGATGTGGCGTTGTTTGCAGGCCTTTGAAACTTGGTGCAAGGATGAAGCTTCTACTAGCTTGTCGGTCGTGCTGGCCTCTTCAGAGTCAGCAAACCTTGCATTGAAAGCGTATGGTCTTCATCTTTTTCGCAAAGGCTTGCCACGTTATTGGTTGGTGTATGCCATCACTGCTGTCCAGCAAGTCTGTCCAGAATACCGACGGGCCTTGAGTGGAGCTTGGCAAGTGGATAGAAAGTGGCAGTTGGAAGAACCTGGACAATGCAGGGCAGTGCTCAGTGCACCTGTCCTGAGAGCCATTTTGGCTGTCGCGTTGTTGTGGGGCTGGTGGACATTCGCTGGTGTTGTTGCGTTGGGGTTTGGAGGGATGCTTCATCCCAATGAATTCTTGTGCTTGTGTCGGCGTGACCTAGTGTTCCCGCAGGACACTTGGATGGAACAACACACTTTGTATGTTCACATAAAGAACCCCAAAACGGCCCGCTTCGCAAGGAGACAGCATGTCAGGATTGACGATCGGTCGATACAGCTTCTTGCGTGGTGTGTCTTCAGCCATTTACAGTTGGAGGCCAAGTTGTTCCCAGCTTCAACCGCTTCTTTCCGTCGACAGTGGAATTGCGTTTTGGACCGTCTTGAGGTCCCCAGGCGTCAGGCGGAGGGGGGCGCGACGCCCGGGACCTTGCGAGGGTCCGGAGCAACTTTTGAATATCTAGAAACAGGTGATATTTCCAGGATACAATGGCGTGGCCGGTGGGCCCAAGTGAAGACATTGGAACATTATATACAAGAGGTGGGAGCACAACTCTTCTTGTTTAACCTTTCCGAATCTTCGCGTACAAAGATTCAGTCCTTTAGCGGTCACTTGAGCTCTATTCTCACTGACCTGTTTCCTTCGGAAGTTCAATTGTTTGCAACGCAGGATGTTAAGGGTGGATAGTTGTTACAATACAGTGCAACATTGTGCAACATTGTACAACATTGTTC